GTTCTTTCGCTAAAGTCACGTATAAAAATAAAATAATAAATTTAATAATAGCATACGACGTTTCTATTGCAACACAAGCAATCATTATCAGGTATAAATGAAATAGCAACAAAAATCTAACCAGAAAACTATAGACAGACATATAAGCAGACAGATATCACCAAGATACATAGAGAGAGAGCAACACATAGGCACACAGAGAGAGAACGTCTCTGTGACGAGGCCTTAAATAGAGAGAGGGGGCGGGGGCGTAGAGAGGGAGGGGGTTAGAGAAAAAATTTGCATGTCAATGGGTAGGACGACTGTCCGTAATCAGGTCCGGCGAAGATATTGGTTCTGCCGTGTTTCAGATCTGACACTGTCTTGTTGCAGCAGCCCTTTCACCCACTTCAGCAATTGTTTCTTGCTGTGGTTGTCCCACCTGATGACGGACGCTTGTGTTGCGCCCGAAACTTCGTGATTTATTTTATTTTATGCCTACGTGACTTTACCGAAGGAACCAAAGAGTATGGATCCCTGCAGTCACGAAAACTTCAAATCTAGCCCTCACAGAGTAGGTAGGCCTTCATCTAGCAGTGATTGATAAAGAGACAATAATGATAATTCGTTTAACTATACTTGTATTTGGTAGTGGGCATTGACTGTTTTTGTGTCATACTCTTTGAAAACGAAGCTATAAAAATGAGTTATCAAATATCTGATGTAATATTTAAATTCAATACCCTCAAAAGCCTCAAGATGCAAACTTTTGTAGGGCTAGGATTAATTATTTAAAAGATAAAAAAAAGCTGGCCCACAAATATTTGTGACACAGCTCAACTTCTGCAATGGAAAACAACCTGCACCTCCTTACACACGACTTGCCTGGCCCAGCCTCAGTACTGCTTGAATGCGCCAGTGGAATAGTGAGTATTATGAAACTGGATTAAAAATAGTTTTTAAAAGTAACACACTCAGCTTACTTAATTATTATTGTATTATTTTAACCATAATTACTTATATCAAACGCATGGTTATTTCATTCGTAGGCCGGCCAGATGCCTTTTCTTGCCTAGACTCTCTAGGCCTTCACTCAGATGAGAGGATAGCATAGGGAAGGCCTGCCAGCTTATACTTAATTACACACATACATGGGCCCTGGGTGAGTTTAATGGCCCAGTTATATGTGACTTTGTTCCAAAACAGAAGCAAAGAAATTGCTATAACATGACATGTTGTGCAAGATTTAAAATGCAACCAATTTTGGCCATTTCACTTCAACATTCCACACTTTACATGCCGAAGAAGGGACAATGGGCCCAGATGACCTTTACTGAAATGAACTCATCACCTCAGAGTCATGGGTATGCTGTTTCTCTTCCAAAGAGCTCTCTCTTCAAACCAAGTAAACCGAAACGTAAATAAAGATGTCTGCATGAAGTAATGCAGCTTACAATGAAACCTAGAACTTAACCATGATACTTGTGGCCTTAAGAATGCAGGCATTGAAATGTCAATTGTGCCCTAGGGTGCATGTAAAATAACACTGTAACAACACATTCACAAAGTTAATGTTTCCACTTGAGGTGTGGTTGCAAATGCCCAACAATCAATTATGGTCCAGTCACCCAACTGTATAAAATTGTCCAAACAACATTTTGTTATAAGAGGAAACTATATCCTCGAACATTGTCAAAAGGAAAAAAAAACATACTTAACATTTTTCCTGAGATGTTCTCGCAGTAACAATACCATCACATATAGAAAATGCAAACAGCTGTACAAAGTGAAGATGGAGTTTCGATTTAAAGCATTCGTGACTGCAGGGATTCATCTTCTTGGTTCTTTCGGTAAAGTCACGTAGAAGGGAAATAACAAAATAATAAAAATTAAACATAAAATAAAATTCTCACGACGTTTCGGCCACAACGCAAGCAGCCGTCCTCAGGTGAAGAACAGGGCTGTCGGAAAGACAGCGTCTGAATGAACACCAATATGAGACCTGGGGAAATGTCCTCAAGCCAGCCTCGAGGCCAAGAAATCGTCTCAATGACCCAAGACTGCACAACATGCAGCTTTACAGAAATATTGCTGTAAACATATTTTAACGTGCATATCTACCGTAGAGGTGAGACCCGTGCAATTACTTGCTCAAGCCAATGCTGGTGGAAGGGCCTCCACTCGAGGTATCAACTGTGATGAAGCCATTTTACTGCTGGGTGGCCAGAGGCGGAGAGATATAACTTGAGCCACTGTTTCAACTGCCGTTGCCGGGAGGTTGAACCAGCAATATCTGAATTGCAAGTTTGGTGTCCTAGCCATAACACCGTAGTGGCATCCCTGTCTATAGTATGCATTTATACTGGTAGGAACCTCCTGGTTACACCAGCCCACAGGGGATTATTGTGCCCGTCGTGCAGGGAGGGGCTGGGTGGGGAGGGGCTGGGTGGGGAAGGGATGGGTGGGGAGGGTGGGGAGGGGCTGGGTGGGGAGGGTGGGGCTGGGTGGGGAGGGGCTGGTCACCCCGTGGTGCCCTTATAAAACTCAACGTTTAACCTACTCACACCGGCTTGTGCCCGCCCTCACAGTCGAGCATATTTGCGGAATACACCACGCCGCTGTTGATTCTGGCCATTGACCGAGCAACCAAAGATTCCTACCAGCTCCCTCTGCAGGAATGTGTTAACTTTCATTTTGATAATTTAATTATTTATATTTAGACACGATTTAAGTATGTTACAGAAGTGAGTAGCATCAACACACACACACACTTCCTCCAATTATAACCTTGCTCAATGCAATAAACGTGCGTACTCTTAGCTCTTACAACTCTAACTGTGCTGTTGGTTGCTGGCTGCTTGACGTGTTGGGCCTTTAGACATGGGTAATATGACTATCCAAACAAGAGGAATGTGTTCAAGCAGGAATTTATAATTAATCTTATCGAAAATATTTTTTTTCGCGTCGTGAACCACTGGGTAAATAGTAGGTGTGTAATGATCGTTAGTTAATCGATTACATCGATACTTAGACTGACCATGCTTGCTTCGCATGATGCACGTACGAATTGAATAGAATTACAATTCATGCAAATTATGAGCGAATGTAAAATTCAATGAGAGTCGGACTCCAATGCTGCGGATAGCCTGAGATGTCATGCGATGACCCTTTGGGATGGTGCGACCGCCACCCAATACTGTTGTAAGTTATCGGATCTCCATTAAAAATGCATAAGGAGACGGCTTGATTAAGACCCTGCTGTGTGTCTTTAAGTATACTTAGCTGAGTAACATTAGGATGTGAGGACCAAAAAACTTCTGGTAGAATATATTAACTGAGAAAGTCAACGTGTTTAAAGGTCAAAAACAGACGTTACTTGCTAGATTGTTAATCATGCTTACAAAATGTTCCGTTTTTAGTTAAGGTGTAAATATAGTATTTCACCGTTGTGCAGTCAAGATTATTTAAATCGATGAGAATTACATTGTGTGTTTACCGCACTATACACGGCTGTCCAAATTAAATTTCACATGAATGGAAACCCATCTGCCAGCAATGTTATGCCATGACATCACAGTCATTGTCAGGGTCTTGTGTGTGGATTCCTCAAGCATTATGCATTGTCAGTGCTAAATAAAGCAACTACAGTACATGAAATATTCACTGTTGCCCACCACCAATAGGTGACTAAAATGATAGATTCACACATTACACTATTATGTCCAATATTGCATTGGTATCACCGTTATTACTGGTAGTTGTGCACAAGTACAAATAATACATGAAAAAACACATTACGGTTGCCTACGTACGGTGCGAAAGAAGTAAAAATACATATAATATCATTGTGTCATTAAAATAAATAAGTAATATGGTTGGCGATGTTTCATGCCACAGCCCTTCTTCATAGCGCATACATTTATTAATGACAGGTCTGTTTGAGCGATGCCTCTGGAAGGCTCTGGGGTAGGTGGGCGCATGTGAGAAGTCGGAAGCGAGCCTGGGCTACTCTTAGCCTAAAGTAAATACAGAGTGTAGTATGTAAACCAAACCCCTGTGGAGATTAGGAGGCCAGCATGGTTATAAGTTAACCTCCTTTGTGTGCGTTTGGGCCTTGACAGGTGCTCGCGAACAACAATTGTTCCCAAAACCTATGAGGCTATGTCGGGGATCTTTGTATTCATTAAAAAATGCATTGTTCTGGCAAGGAGATGCTATTCTTAAGTTAGGTAACTTGACACAATATTCTAGAGGTCATCGCGGTCGATGCCAATACCACCATACCTGGCCTCTGCTTCTTTCCTTCTTCTAAATTCCTTAACTGGTGCACAGTCGATGCCCTTTGCACAGCTTCAGGGCTTTGGCCTGGTCTCTGACCTCAGATGCCACTTCAATGGCTGTCTCAGTAACACGTCCTCTCACATCATATCTCATCCATCACAACCTGCTCTGCCTGGTTAATTCTACAATGCTTGCCGGTCACATTGTGTAATCTGAAGATTATATTTGTCATTGTGTTGCTAAAATCCAGCTGTCAACATGACAAACAATAGTCCTGACTCAAAAGACACTCATCTCAAAGGGCTATAAATGTTATTAATATACGGTGCTTCCCTTGTCATCACCACACATCCCCAAAAGATACCTTTGCATTTTCGCACGGCCATTTTGTGTGGCATTATACTCTGTCATGCGTCTTATTCGTAGAACCAATGAAGATCAACTATTAGAGATTCACACCTAAGCGATATAGTCATTCAATTGCTTAGTCAGAGAGGTGGTAAATTTCAGATATGCTGCCTTCATTATTATATTGGGGGCAGTGCGAAGTTACGTGGTACATGGTTTGGAGTTCGGAGCAGCAGTTGCACGCAGGAAAGTGTTTAATTTTTTACTGGGTTATGCTGAAAGGCACACAACTCGGATCGCACAACGTGGTGGAGGTTAATCCACAGAGAACCCAGCAGCGGAGTGCTCTCACCGTGCAGTGTGTGCGCACATTCACACGATTGCTTCCTGACCTTCAGGTAACGTCTCCGGCAGAGGAACATGAGAACCGTGGCTCGTAGGCGGATGAAGCCTTCGCGGATCATCTTGTAGCGGTACCTGGCAGCAAGGGAAAATGGCTTATTGACCGCAGGGGATACCGTGCATACATACACAAATGTAACCCTCAGAACTGTCTCAACACTTAAGTGGGTTTCTGTTCGGACGGGAGAAGAATAACAATAACCAGAGAGAAATGGTGAGAAAGATACTGCCATGTAGAAAGATACTGCTATATTCTCAATTAAATTAAACAAATTAGGGCACGCGCACACACACCCCACAGATTATAAAACCCACCACCAACTTTTCTTAAAATTTCAGGAAGACAATGCACCTTAGTCCGGATTGAAACAATAGCTGCGACGTTTGCTGCACCTCACCTGGCCTGGTAGCCACGGATGTGCGCCTGCAGGAGGATCACCTTGGACCTCATGCGGTGGTAACGCCTGCGCGCCACAAAGCCACGCACGTAGCGCTGCATGGTGACCGCCGCCCAGTGCAGCACGCGTTCGCGCCTGCTCTCCAGTGCCTGGTGCAGCTTCTCTTTGAGGAAGACCTGCTTGCACCCACACGCACACGCGCACACGTGCACACGCGCACGCAGTGCAAGCCCGGCACTCAGAAAATGAAAGGAAACGGTGCAGCCCGGAAATTTCTTCCTCGCGTGACTACTGATGGAAGGGCCTCCGCTTCAGGGAGCTCGAGAGAGTCCCTCGTGAACTACTCTTCCATTCGGTTTAGATGTCATGGAAATGGGGAGGGAGTACCCACATTTTACCGCACCACACACGGCCCTCCGATCGACTGTGGTGCACCCAATTACTGTATTCTGATAAGTGTACAGATATGGGGGATTTAAGGTATTGTCCATTGTTTCCACTGCTGTGCTGGGAGATTGAAGCGGTGGCCTCTGGATTGCAAGTCCAGCGAGCTGACCATTACACCAGCTGTTCCCATGTACATAGGTACACAGGATATCTGTCCCAGGCTATCTGACATGAGTTTTCACGCTTTGTTCATAAGAAGTTCGTATGAGAAAGCATTATGTTCTGGGGAGTCCTCATTGTGCCCACTGGGGTACGACTGTCATAAATGCTTTACATTAACAAAGTGTTGTTCCAAAAACTCCTGTAGACAAAACTCATCTAAAGCAGGAACTAAGAAGAACACACACCCCCCAACTCTATACATACTATTACTGCACCATACAATTCCACAGTGAGGCATCTGTGCAGCCTCAACAATAAGCCAAAGCCTCTTCAATCACTCTCTTCCTCAACACAACCCACATACTCAAACACGCAGCCACAGTTTCAAAACTAACTAACAGCCCGAACATAAACCCACAACGTTTAACACTAACGGATCAATGTTTATTTCGTAACAAAATCAAATATTATCGAATTGTTTTTGGGTTGCATCTCCCATTCACAACAAAAAATATATACTTCTGAACTAAAAAATATGAGCAATGTTCAATGTGGCCCATGTAGGCCATGGCATAGGACACAATGACCAGTTATTGTGAACCATGCCAAAGGATATTTCATGTCCACATTTCAAGAGACACTTTTGTTAAGCATCTATGCAAAATTGATGGACAGATGTGAGAATTAAACGAGTGGCCACGGTGGTTTCCCTTTCACGCAATGAGGTACAAGAGATGCGTTCTTCTCCACGCACCCGGTTGATGCCTATTTGGTAGGGCTCATCCATGTGCTTCTTGATGCTGATTTTGCTGAGGATGGTGACACAGCCCTCCCGGCCGGACACGACAGCCTCCTTCCTGCCCACCAGCATCTTGTACCTGCCCAACGCCAAGCGCGCGCACACACCACGGTGAGAGCCCTGTCAGAGGAGCACACTGGGCATGGTTATTGCTGCTGGGGTGGCATACTCTTAGGTTTTTTCGGTAAAGTCACGTAGGTAAAAAACTAAAAATAAAAGTTAATAAAAGTAATAATGGAAATAAAATAAAATAATAAATCACGTTTCGGAGGCAACACAAGTCTCCGTCATCAGGTGGGACCGTCACAGCTAAAATTACTGCATCAAGTGCTGGGGTGGCATTCAGGTTAAAGCGTCTGAACAGTCTAATGCTTAGCCTACTTGCCTCACAGGCTGAAACATGCACAGAGTCCCATCGTTTATATCGAATGCTCTTGGTAATAACGTATGGTATCACAGCAGCATTTGTTTAAGAAGCCTGCTGATGCGACCCAGTACGTTAAAACCGAGCTAAAGTTTGCTCGCTGAAACAAATTCTGCTTGACAATGTGTCTTGAAAGGACTAAACATTTTTTTTACATGTAAATACAGGATGGAGTTACGTTAATGTCATTTTTATTGTATTGTGATATCCAGAAAATGTCGCTGCTTTGCTTTATGTATTCATGCTAATAACAAGTGGGATTTCAATTGTGTTAACGTTTACTTAAGTAGTCGTTAATGTTTACTTAAGTAGTCAGCTCTTGATTAATTACACAAATTGGGGAGAGACCCTAGCAAGAAAATTAACTATTTTGGTGAATGAAACGTCAACAAAATTGATATAGAGTACATATAAAATTGGGAAGATTTAATGACGTGTTTATAGGGGAATCAAGGAGTATGCAAATCAGGTGGTTAGAGTAGGGAGATGTACGTATGCTGAAATTCGTTCGCACCATACAGTACGTACCAAATCGTGCTAATCAGAGGTGCTAAGCATTCGATGGTCGGTAACAGTTTCACAACATTGTCAGTTATCTCTGCATCCAGTCACCTACTGTGCATGGGCATTTTTCACAGTTCCAGTTACACGATAACACCTTTAAGGTTTATTTAGAATAGAAACACAATAGATTCTCAAAACTTTGCAAAGGTATTGACAGGAGGGAGGGCAGAAGAAAAAAACAAAACTACAATGCAGTAACCATGACAACAAAACAGAGGATAGATATAAAACCATCTTCTTGGTTCTTTCGGTAAAGTCACGTAGAAGGGAAATAATAAAATAATAAAATTAAACATAATAAAATACAATTCTCACGACGTTTCGGCCACAACGCAAGCAGCCGTCCTCAGGTGAAGACGCTGTCTTTCCGACAGACCTGTTCTTCACCTGAGGACGGCTGCTTGCGTTGTGGCCGAAACGTCGTGAGAATTGTATTTTATTATGTTTTATTTTTATTATTTTATTATTTCCCTTCTACGTGACTTTACCGAAAGAACCAAGAAGATGAATCCCTGCAGTCAGAAAAGCTTTAAATCGAGATATAAAACCAGTCATACGTGAAGGAAATAAAGACATGCTTAAGTCTCGACTTGAACACGGGGAGGAAATTATCTGTAGAGGCAGCCAAGAGTTTAGGCAATGTGGGCACCAGAGAAGAAGTTGTGATGTCCCATTGGGAAGAGTGTGACTGCAGTGGAGAGAGAAAGGTCGGGAGGGTGCGGCAATATTGGATATGATTGTAGGTAGGGGCTTCATCAATATTTGGTCAACTGCACCGGTTAATCAGGTCTCTACAAAAAAACAGGAATTTAAACTTTCCACCGAAAATTGTTGAGTACAACACAGCTGGCAAGACATTTGAAAGGACCGAAAAGTGATCTGTGGAGCGGTTGTCGAGTGTTAATCAAGTCTCTACAAAAAAACAAGAATTTTAACTTTCCACCGAAAATTGTTGAGTACAACACAGCTGGCAAGACATTTGAAAGGACCAACAAGTGATCTGTGGAGCGGTTGTCGAGTGTGTGGGCAAGAGAAGGCACCGGGCGGTGAAGGTGTGGAACGCCACCCTGACCGGGTAACCCTCCTTGCGGATGCGAATGGTCTCCAGGATGCCCAGGTACAGCAGCTGAGCCCCGACCACCTCGGCGTCAAACAGACCGGGCTCCTGGGCAGTGGAGAGGCATGCAGGAAGAGAGGTGGATCACCCAAGGGTGAATGCGGGGGGTGGGGGGAGGAAGGCGGGCAACCAGAGGAGAAAGGCGAGTGTGACAAAGAGAGATGGAGTTCTTTCGGTAAAGTCACATAGGTGAAAATAAAAAATAATAAAAAAGTGAAAACAACTAAATAATTTTCACCTACTCGACTTTACCGAAAGAACCAAAGAGTATGGATCCTTGCAGTCACGAACACTTCAAATCTAGAAAGAGATGGAGTTGACTGGTATTAAGAAGAGGTGTGGTTGTAAGGACAGGGAAAAGAGATGAACATTCGTTTGGAGGAGAATTGCGGGTTATGAAAGGTTGATATGTAAGGTTCAAATATGTGGTGGAAAAAAAAGTGATGTTATGTGGTAATTCATGAATTACTTTTTATTTCACAGCCCATTAACAATACACTGCTGGATAAAGGATATGCGATGAAGGTTTCAGTCATTAGGGTTGTTTTATTATAATTCACCATGCTAGTCCATACCAGCTGGTGGAATGGTGGGGGATCCTGAACTGGTTCAATTTCCACTTGCCACTGATGCTAGCCATGGTTGGCAATAGAATTGTTGCCAAGCTCATAGCAGAGTGTGTGAACCACTGTGCCACCGCTCCTCTTATCAAGGAGTGGGTGGCCCATGCAGTTCATAATGGGAGCACCACCAAAATTCACGGTTCAAGTCTCACCACTAACAAGAGATCTCAAGTGGTATCTTACCTTTCTATGGTTTGGCTTTATACAACGCACAAAAAATGGGTTGCACCTGTGGGCAAAAAACACAATTATTTTTTATTTTGTCAATTCCGTATAATTAACCTGTTTGTGTTTTTTTAGTAAGTATAAGCCATGACCTGCTTTTACAAAACTAACTTCAAAAGGCCTGTAGAGTCCACTTAGGTGTAAACTAATATATAAGGTACAAATACAAACTGTGGATATGTTACGGCACCGTGTCTTACGACAGCTGAACTTGCACATTCTGCAACTAATTAGTATTAGAACATTAAACTGAAATTAACAATACAGTACAACAAACCTTGTAACCATACAGAAAATGTTGATATTAACAAAAATTTATTTAATTGAAATGTTGAAAATAACACAAATGTTGACATACACCGTAAGTACTGCCCAATGATAAAAACGGTCATGGGTATTAGTCATAGGGTACATAATATTTTTTTTTTTGTTAGATCGCATAAATATATAAATGTGTCGTTAAACCCACCACCACCCGAAACAGCCAACTAGACAGTGTCTGAATGAAGTCTCCCCGACAGACCTGGTCTTCACCTGAGGATGGCTTGTGTTGTGGCCGAAACGTCGTGAGAATTATTTTATTATGTTTTATTTTTATTATTTTATTACTTCCCTTCTATGTGACTTTACCGAAAGAACCAAGAAGATGAATCACTGCAGTCACGAAAGCTTTAAATCGAAAAAAAGGTAATAGGGTTGCCACCTCTAATATTTTAAAAAGCATAAATAATGGGAAGAAAAATATCTCACAATCGCGAAAGAGGGGAGAAATACATGTAAATGTATTGCTGTGAGATGTCCTTTAATATGCAACTCATAAAAACTGGCATTTTTTACGTCCTACGAAGACATATTTCCTGGAACGACTACCTCAAATAGAGGATAATCCTGTGAATACCAAAGCAGGTGGCAATACTAGTCTGCGGTGGTGTCAGGGGTCAGCATTGATTGAGGGTCGTACTTTTCCATCTTCTCTATGAGCTCCATGAGCGACTGCTGGAACTTGGCGGCCACCGTTGGGGCCTGGTATCTGCGGCCCAGGCTGCAGTTCTTGCCCATGCGGCCCTGTGCCACTGACTGGTGCTGCCGGAACTGATCGGACATCAGCTGTTCAGGGCACAGGCCAAAGTACACAGCAGAGCATGTGAGAGACGTGCAGCAGATGCTAATTGTACCACAACACTCGTATGCATGTACAACTGATCGGACATGAGCTGTTCAGGACACAGGTCAAGGTACACAGCAGAGCATGTGAGAACGTGCAGCAGATGCTAATTGTACCACAACACTCGTATGCATGTACAACTGATCGGACATGAGCTGTTCGGGGCACAGGCCAAGGTACACAGCAGAGCATGCGAGAGACGTGCAGCAGATGCTAATTGTACCACAACACTCGTATGCATGTACAAGTATATGAAACAGCAATCATCATTTATCACTGTCAGTGACATTACCATGGCACTTGTACCATGTTTATGGGCGCTTTGACACTATGTGGAATGGCTTGGAGTAGGAGGCCATTCTAATTCGTCACTAGTACAGCAAACCAGTGTGTTGTGGCTTGGCTCTCCAACACACCGGTGTGCTGTACTAGTGACGAATTGGCCACGTTCTGTTTACGTGACAAACCTTACTCGTTGGCTGTGTCGGGTGGTGGCGGGTTTTAACGGCACATTTATATATTCACGCGATCTAATCCAAAAACCTCTATCATGGATGATATTGGTCGCGAAAGCCTACGTGTTAAACTGACACTTACTGCGATAAGCACAGGCACCACATCGTACCTTGCACTTGCTGTGAATAAGCAGCTCCAACACCTCCTGTCGCACTTGGTCAAAGTTTTTATCCAAAAATTTGTGCACCTGGAAATAAAGAATGAGAGAGGACACAATTACAGAGTCTTGGAAAGAGTTAAATAATTAATTGGTCACCTCTCTAATTCTGATCCAGGAGAGAACCTAGCAAGATGGAATACATTTTAAAATAAAACTGAGTTATGCAGATGTCACCATCATCATTAGCCCATGGGTAATACCTACTATAATCACCCAGGAATGTCTATCCTTAACGCTCGTGACGTCACTCCACACGGAACAGCCCCCCTCATTAATATTCATGAGCAGGTGACGTCCTCCAAATGGACACCCCCCCCCTCCATTCATAATAATTAGCGGCTGACGTCACTTCACATGGGGGGCCGAGGCGCCTCCTCCCCCCTCCTCAGCGTCAACTTACAACCCTCACTACAAAGGCAGAACCCTCACGTCGCGCGATCTCCGTCACGCTGTTGAGACATCAAAGTAAAAAGGACGTCATGATGAACAAGGGATCATAACCTTAAAATGAACTAAGTCTGTGTCAGCGCGCCCTTACAAGTTGCACACGCATTGATGCAATCAATATCACGTCGCGGTCTGATTTTCGCTTGCAAGTTTCAGATTTACTGCAATAAACCCGTCCTTGGACGGGCAAAAGGCGAGTATTTTAATAAGGTGCTTAGCTAGTGGTAGACAGTAGCCTAATGCATTAGTAAAGTCAAGTCGAAGCATCCTCCTATGCAAATCAGTTGATTAATCAAGCTATGGAATGGAACTTATCCCTGTTGGTGGATCCCAATTCATTTCAAAACCAGGTAATGAATGTGTTTTAATATGGCACTAACTCAATTTGCAATTATATGGATGTAATCAGCAACACATCTTGATGGCCTACAATTTTCGATGCGATTGATGATCAGTGCAGAAGCACCATGCTTTATTTCAATGTTTATATTTATTTGGACAAAGAGCGTTTTTATTACCATCACGCAGTTCCCAATACTATGCCACTACAACTGTGTCCAAGTTTTCGATTGACAGATAAACATGTTATCTCATTCTGCTTGTAGATGCTGATAAAGGTTATGGTTACTGAATAATGAATGGCGAAGACTATGCGGTGCAGTCAATAACAATGGGGGTGACCGTACGGCGAGTAGATCTGTTAAAATCGCTTGTTGACAAGCATAGTTCACGCTTTACATACAATCAGTTCTGTAGCAAAAAAAAACTATTGTGCCAAGGACATTGCCACAACGATTCCCCAGACAACCCTTTGTGAATGCTACCTGGTACGTGACCTTGCCGGCGTAGTGCTTAATTGTGAACTCGGGCAGGGGCATCTTGGGCTTGGAGTAGAGAGGGTTGTTGCCGTGGTGGTAGTGACATTTTTGAAGGAAGGTCTGGTCCGTGGCCTAAGAAATACAAAGGGAGTACAAGGTGGCAAAACCATCACCAGCTGGTAAAAACGAGATGCCAGACAAGAGGAGGAGTGGTCAGATGATTGAGGGCAGGAGCGGTCAGGGGAGAAGAACGGGGAAGAAGCACACGAAGATGAAAGAGCAGCAGAAGCTGGGCAAGGCAAATGGTAAAACGTGCAACAGGAGGAGACAGCTGGAAAATGAGATGTGTCAGGAGAAGGACGACAATGAGTCTTCTTGGTTCTTTCGGTAAAGTCACATAGAATGGAAATAATAAAATAATAAAAATAAAACATAATTAAATAATGTAATATTTTTATTTTCTTTTATTATTTACATTCTACGTGACTTTACCGAAAGAACCAAGAAGATGAATCCCTGCAGTCACGAAAGCTTTAAATCGAGACGACAATGAGATTTGTCACGAGAATGAGAAAGGGAAAATGAGCAAAGGATAGGGACAAGAGAAAGCAGAGAGATCCAACCAACAAGAATCACAATAGAGGAGATGAAGGATCCCCTCCACTCACATTGTTGATGCCGGGAAGCTGCACTTGAGACCCCAATTTAATAATTGGCAGCTACCTGGATTCGAAGCCAGAATCTCAGCAGCACCAGCAAAGCACTCGGAGACCTCTCAGTCACCTGGCTACCTTGCAGCATCTGACCCCTTAAAACAGGGGTGGGGAACGTCCGACCCGCGGGCCGTATGAGGCCTGCGAAATCTTTTAGTCTGGCCCTGCCAAGGCAACCGCAGGCGGGACTCGAAATCCAATAAATCTAGGAGCAAACCAGGAAAAGCAGTTGCGAGTAGCAACATCATCAATACCAGATAACATCACACGCCTCACCAAAGAGAAGCATCTCCAGCCATCACATTAGGGATGAGTTAATTAAATGTTTGACCAAATATAACAGGCTAATTTTTAAGTTGATAATTTTGTATGGCCCGCGAATGATCTTATAAATATCCAAATGGCCCTTGGCAGAAAACAGGTTCCCCACCCCTGCCTTAAAATAATGCGGCTAGTGTGTTCACAGTCACCCACTTTTATGAAGGAGATTCATCTGCTAACAAGGCAATGTACTGCAAACAGCATTGCCATTGATGCAATCACTTTTTTTATCTTCCAACCAAAGCATGCAATATAGAGGGGCGTGAGAGGAATGAGTGGAGCGAGCGAGCGAGAAAAGGCGCCGGCAGCGAGTGAGGCGGAGACCTGCGGGAACGCGCTCTGGTCATCCAGGATGCGCATGATGCCGTACGGCTTCTGGGAGATGAGGTCCAGGCACGCCTGGTTGTCGTTGAAGGTGATGTGCTTCCAGCTGATGCGCTCCCGATCGTACACCTCCTGCGCGGCACATGGCATGGAAACGCTTTTCAGGGAAACTGTGTCAGATCCGGCTGGGGACCGATTTAGGCAGAGAGATCAACTTGTATTTGGAAGTCATCTTCTTGGTTCTTTCGGTAAAGTCACGTAGAATGGAAATAATAAAATAATACAAATAAAACGTATTACTTTATTATTTCAATTCTACGTGACTTTACCGAAAGAACCAAGAAGATGAATCCCTGCAGTCACGAAAGCTATAAATCGAAATTGTATTTGGAAGGTCAAGAGTTCAAAATCCAGTCAGGGGTCTATCCATTACACTGTCCCTTTTGTGATAAAGATATAAGGCAGTGTTATTAAATAAATGATTCACCTGCACTGCAGTACTTGTGATGCTCTTCTATAAATAAAAGTGAAATTATATTTTTAAATTTTATAAATCATCAACACTCATACACCATGATTTAAAAAATGGCAATCTATAACTCTCCTAGTCTACAAAGCACCGAGTTATATCATGGGATAGCTCCAAAAGATGGCATCATCTCAATAGGCTTCTCAAACCCAGAACTAGCCGGTGCTCCTTGATGTTCTGTAGGGTGGCACTGTAAAGCAAGGCTCGCCAAACCTGATCCTGTGGGCTCAGCAGTCCTCTGACATGAACCTTATGAGCCCCATGAGCCATCTGGCTGTCTTGTGCTCACTCAGATCCTAGGTGAGTCTCTGTGTCCTCCTGTGTCTACACGTGTCTCTCAAGAGATCTTCTGATCCACCCATAAATAATCTGTGCCATTGTCCATCTGATGCCATAATTTTTATTGGACCTCCAACCTCCAATTCATCACTCAACCCCTACATCGATTGGACAAAGTCCTTTCCGTCAAACTGAATCTCTAGAGGCCCCCTGACTTGTCTTCCATACCCTTTCAAACAAGATATCCAAATTTCGATTTAAAGCTTTCACGACTGCAGGGATTCATATTCTTGGTTCTTTCGGTAAAGTCACGTAGAAGGAAAATAATAAAAGAATAACAATGTAACAATAAAATTCTCACGACGTTTCGATTGCAACACAAGCAATCATCATCAGGTGTGAAAACCACAGCAAGAAATTTTGAACAATAAATGTTTGCAAAAAAAAAGTATTGCTGTGGTTTTCACACCTGATGATGGTTACTTGTGTTGCAATAGAAACGTCGTGAGAATTTTATTGTTCAATTTTTATTATTTCATTATTTCCCTTCTACGTGAGTTTACCGAAAGAACCAAGAATAAGATCTACAAAGCCAGAGGCTCCTAACCCTATTATCAGTCTTACTTTCTATGACTCTGCCAGCACATTTTATTCCCACCAACATTTGTATTTTCTGATGCTGTAGTGCGGATCACTGCTGCTCTGAATAACAGTTGCTGGATTTGAATTTGGGCTCACCGGCCACAGAAGAGAGAGTGACATAGCCCTTGTATGGGGGGTAGCGAGGGTTGGGGATAGGTTTACGGTTAGGGGTACTGATTAGCTGCAGCGCTGTTTGTCATGAGCAGTGTTTCCCACAATAGCAGCAATGCACAGTCATATAGTAACCCCCAGTGCGTGACACAAAGAGACACGGATGACAGACTGACAGAGAGACCGATGTAGTCAGACAGGCAGATAGAAGGGCAGTCTTGAACTCTTGACGTCTCCTCCACGCACCTGCTCTTGTCTGAAGATGATGCGATTGAAGAAGTATTGCAGGTACTCGTTAGCATAATTAATGCACAGCTGCTCAAAGCTATTCATAGCCAGATCCTGAAAAATATAACAAATAACATTTTAAATAGTTATTTTGCAATGTAAACAGAGATCCCAATTATATCCTGAGCAGACCTGTGAGATAAATTCCATTAATAATAATAATACAACTTGTCCTGTGATAGCCTGTTACAGGATTCTCGAGAATCTTTTTAAAAGTGTACTGCTGACAATATTATTTGGACAGAACATTTAAAGTCTGGAGAAAACCCCTATACAGTCATACCTCGGTATAAGACCGCTTTGGAATACGTCGAATTTGGTATACGTCGTGTTTTGACGAGAGAAAACATTCTTGGGATACGACGCGCTTGCTAGAACTTGTATGGGTCGGGATGAGTCGCCGCGTGCCCACGTAGACCCCGTTCACGACTGAAACAAAGCACCGCTCCTCAGTCTGCCTGTAGATCTCGTTCAGTGCACAACCCTTGCTATAACTCTCTGTGAATTTTCACGTGTTTTTTGTCATTTTAACTCCTCTCAGCAAGACAAAGTGATGTAAAATTGTATTTTTATTTCAATTTATTTTAATGTATTTATGTATTTATTTTAATTTATGTATGCATTTTAGTAATAAGTAGTGTCTAAATTATTTTATGCAACCCCATTAATGTATACTATGCCATATAAAATATCATTTCTTATACTCTGGAACGGATTACTTCCTTTCCCTTTGTTTATTATGGGAAAAATTCGTTTGGTTCACGTCATTTTCGGTATAAGTCCTACCTTCTGGAACGAATTAACGACTTATACCGAGGTACCACTGTTCTGGAGAAACACTGCCTGTTCAGCAACATACTTTCTGTGATGCCTTTCACAAGCACCTGGTTGTCTTAACATTCATCAACACAAGTCCAGTAAATTGGAGGAAGGTTTGTGGATCACGCATTGATGAATCCAACAACGCTGATGAACACATTGATGAGTCCAACAACGCTGATGAACACATTGATGAATCCACAAAGTGTGAGAGATAGACCAATAGCAGGAAGTTTTCTCCGGATACCTTAGGGTCCTCCAACATAATAAACACGACAATAACAACAACATCATGGGACCTCCTTTGCCAGTACCAAAATATGAGAATAGGTTTTCTCCTTTTTTCTGGCAACAAAACAGGTGTTAAGTTGTTAAAACACCAAACTGAAACCTTTTACAAGAAATCATGTCTGCATTAACCACAATACTTGTGATCACAATGCAAACAAAAAACACACTCTGATAATAAATGCATTGTCTTTAACATCTTAACACCTGTTTTGATGCCAGAAAAAAGGGGAAACCCTATTATCAATTACAACAACAACAAAAACAGCAAATGGTCTAATACCCCGAAGCAGGGCCCTGAAGAAAATCAGTTATAAGATTCAATGATGGCTTCTTAGGCGAAACAAAACAATGCATAAGAGCAGTGAAGAGGACGGCTGGCAGGGAAAGACAGTGGCCAGATGCTCTCATGCTGAAACCCGACCTCAAAGCCGTAAATGTCGAGCACGGCGATGGACTTGGCATCCTGCCTGGGGGCCACCAGCAGGTTGATGTGGCTGATGAGCCAGACAAAGAGCTGTGCATACAGGATCTTGGCAATGGCATCTCTGTGAAGGGCAGCGGGGAGCAACGGAGAAGTGGTTTTTTGTTATCTTGCGCATACCGCTCATCGTAATCACCGTGAAAAAAAGGAAACATGGTTGTAGAATAAAACGCAGTAATACTTCTGAATATAATGTACGTGCGAAAGAGTCGAGCCTGAAAAAGAGGATTCAAATCTGAACTTGTGTCGGAGATATTATGGTTGGGTTAGTTTATGCAATGGGATCAACCAGCTCCATCCTGTTTGAAGGAAATACTTGGGAAAATATTATTGCATAAGAACATGTATATTTGTTTCTATGTCCATACCTGTCAACCCATACGGTTTACCCGTATTCTTGTGCAGGGAAATTTAGTTTTCAGGTTCATACGGCATGAAGCCATTTCAATACTGGCAAAACATTTGTTTGTGTTTCTCTCTTGTGATTGGACCTTGTAGGATGAACGTTGGGATTGATAAGGGCATGGACATGACGCACTAAAAAATTCAGCTTCTCTGATTTTGCTAATCGTTTTTTTTTTCATAAAAATTTTACATTATATTTAAATGTGAACTATTGCCAGCTCAATGGTTAAGGCCTTAATTAGGGTAACAAACTTGGGTTCAAACGCTCGTCGCTTTACAGACGAAAAAATGTCCCCATGATTATAACACTCCATGGTGTGAGCTCCTCGCACACAACTTCCGCACCACACGAGTTTAGGTACCTGGCGTCAATCGCACTTTCCACAGACAATGGCGTGTATATCTTCTCCCGCATGGCCTCCTGCAGTTACACACACCCACACTGTTACCAGTGAGCACCTATTAAGGTTAGTACAGCAGACAATATGATGGTGTGGTTGGAGCAACACAGCTTTAGCCACCGTTGACAAAAACATTCCAAACAGACCCCCTTCTATAAAGGCTACAAATTGTTTTTGATAGTTCTACTCAGACCTGAAGCTCTCAGTCACAACTACGATCATGACTTCGGTATGACTCTCCTTCTGCAATATCACCGCGTGTGTGCCATTGCGCCTGACCCCACGCTCACCGTGACCTTGTAGGTGATGGCCTTTTGAAGGCCCTCCTGAGAGATCTGCAGAAGTTCGGAGACTGACTGGAGCTCACGCACACTCACCACCGATGCCACCTCCTGCCCATCGACCTGCGTCATGTACACCAGAATGCCATCCCATCAGCAACCCACATCACAAGTGGAGACGAAATGATTTGAGGTCAGTTCATGCGCTGGAGCGAGATGAATTGTGCCAGCACAGGACCGTATTGGAAGACAGTGGGATAGAGAGAACTTCATCCAGTAATGGAGAGACCATGCTTTATTGTTTAATATATTTCCCTTTAATGGCAGCCCTCCCCCCACCTTGCTAAGCAGACAACCTGGTCACTGGACTCACCTCGTGACAAGCGAAGCAGACGTTACCCAGGTGCAGGATGGAGGAGAGCACCTTGAAGATGGTGGCCTGATCCTCAGTGCTGAACGTCAGAATCTCCAGGGCACTCAGCAGTCTTCGGAAGTCCTCCCCATCATGCTTGCCTGGGATCTCACAATTACCACCCTGCAGGACCACGTCATTTGTCTCTTTGGTCACCTACTAAAAAAATATAGGTCCATATTCACCTGCAATTGCTGAATATATGTTATCCGCACCTCCAATTAGCACGGTTGGCTACGTGTGGTGCGAAATAACTTTAACATACATATGTAGAGGAGTAAAATGGGGGTGTGACGTCGTGTGTGCCGTCCAGTGCGATGATGTCACGGAACGTGACGTCATGCGCGCTGACCACCATGGAAATGGCCACGAAGAATGGAAATGACCCACCATTGGCACTGAGAACCCTTGGCACTCATCTCTATGGGAGGGTCTGACACAGTGGTTGAAATTACACATTCCAATGGCAGGGTCGAGTCACATCACAGGACCACCACTGCTGCTGCTGATGATGTGACGATGATGCTGCTGCTGAGTTCTCTCCATCAAATGTCGATCATCTCTGCTCACTTTTATTAATAGTTAATGTGATATTAGTGTGTCTATGTGTGTGTAATTATGTCTGAGGAGCAGTGGTGTGTCAGCGCTCTGCGATACAAATCCGGCAACCCAAATTCGATTCCTGCTCACGGCCAACACCCGTGACGATTATCTGAACCGGTCCTGGGCCTCCCCTAGCTCGACTCAGCCCCAAATGAGTACCTAGTGTCACGTGTAAAACTAAACAATTTACTAAATTATCTTTATTTGACAAAGGCGGCCGGACGGGATGCTGGCCACCCACCCCCTCGTGTACCGTGCCAGCTTTCATCGGTGCTTGCTAACAGCACTTGCCTAAGAAGTATGTTAATGTTATATGGGGGATCTTTATCTTTGTATGTATATATATGTGAGTAGCAGTTCCATAGCCATTTGAGCTACAAACCTGAAAACCTAAGTTCAATCTCCCAGCTGCGGCTAACATCAGTGCCGAGTGAAATCTAAACCATATCTCTGGCTTTCATAATATTTATGTTTAAGATGAGTAGGTCATTAATGTTCACGAATTTTTTCATGTTCTTGATCCACACGTAGCCCAGCCCTAATGGTCTCCAATGGCAACGCTGCCCTTACTGGAGTCCAGGATGAGGTTTTGTGTAAATGGTTGAAGAAGCCTCTTGCTTGTAACCCCAGTGAACACTCACCTGGTTGAGGTAGTAGTAGGTCTCAGGGTCTTGCAAGTAGTACCTCTGCCTCTGTTGCGATGGCAATCCTGCCAGCAGCTCGTAGAATATGTGGTAGTTCCTTTCATTTTTGGCCTAGAGAATGAGTAAAGGTCATATAGGTCACATTAATAATAATAAGACAGATCTTTACCTCAGAGAGTTTTGTCTTAAGCATGTAGATGTAGTTAACGGCACAGTCCTGCTTAGGATGTATGGTCAATGACGATAGCACTTGGACATCTACTGGAGATCTGTAAAAATTACTGGACATCTATGAAAAAGAGCTTCATAGCTCATTGGATTCCTCCTGGATAAATAAGGATTCCCCGAAACTTCGCTCCTCGTCCTGGGAGCTTCTTCAGGAACTGAATGAAGAATTTAAGTGAGGAAACTCACAGCACGTGGAGTGAAACATTGGACATAGTGCCTTAAAGCTTTGTGAAAGCAGGAATTCATATTCCTGCTTTCACGTAGATTGGTTCAAAGAAAATAACAAAAAACGACGACGTTTCAATCGTTGAGTTGTGATCGAAACGTCGTAGCTTTTGGTTATTTTTTGTAATTTTATTTGAACCTATCTACGTGACTTCACAGAAAGACCCAAAGAATTGGACATCGTGCCAAACGACACGCGGTACAACCGGAAAACACACCGAAGAGCTGTACAGGACAATCTTGATTTGAAGCTTTCGTGACTGCAGGAATCCATACTCTTTGGTTCTTTCGGTAAAGTCACGTAGGTCGAAATAAAATATACCAAATCACGACGTTTCGATTGCAACCCAATCAATCTTCATCAGATGGGACAACCACAGCCGACTTCAGCATTTTCTTGCTGTGGTTGTCCCACCTGATGAGGATTGCTTATGTTGCGATCGAAACGTCGTGATTTGTTTTATTTTATTTTTACCTACGTGACTTTACCGAAAGAACCAAAAAGTATGTCTATACAGCATAATTGCAAATAAACCGACGCAGCGGTAGAATTAGATAACACTTAAATACCACACAGATGCTCTTGTAAAATCATACTTATTGTATTGTCTCAAAGAGGCAACGTGTTGCTCCAGCAGACAGATGTCTAATGCACAGTAATTGCAAGAACCAGCACCGCTACTTTCAAGACACTGATTTAGTGAAGTGCACAGGCACTACTGACGTAATACCTTCACTACAAAATTACTCTTCTACACAATTTTGTAGTCGTTAGTGATATGGGTTCATACATTATTTGGTAATGCTACGTTGGCAGTGGTGTACAAGCAAAATTAACAACAAAAAAACCTCAACGCACTCGTCAATAAAACTGTCGCCTTAATAGGAAAAATAAATTATATGCGACGTATCACAGCACCTCGCATTTATATACAATTACAAACGGGAAAAGTCACCAGGTAAATTTTCACATCACACACAAAGCTAACTAGGTTAAATTAAACATCGTTCTAGATTTGAAGCTTTCGTGACTGCAAGGATTCATGCTCTTAGGTTTTTTCGGTAAAGTTACGTAGGTAAAAATAATAAAATTAAAATTAATAAAAGTAATAATAAAAATAAAATAGTAAATCACGACGTTTCGGAGGCAACACACGTCTCCGTCATCAGGTGGGACCGTCACAGCTAGATTTACTGTGTCTGTGTCAAGTGAGGCATCGTTCTTATTTACGATGGTGACAAAATACTCCTGTCTCTCACATGGGCCTGGCTGTTAGAAGGACTCTGTCTTGGGGCTGTAAGCAGCTGGGATAGAAGGATAGTGTGCCAATGCAGCAGCGCTTCCAACTTCACGTGCATACAAACGCACTTAAATAATGTGGTAATCTTAAGTATAGTATGCATGAGGTGTATTTTAGCGTGATCGTTCTAGCATTACCTGAAAGACAATTCTTGACTTCTCGAGTAAATACTGGGAAGTTATGGCACCATTGATCACCCCACTGAAACAAAAGATCACGTGAAAATTAGCGAGTTCACAAGAGGGGTAAGGCTGGATTCTCGTCGGTTTCCACGCACGATGAAACAATAAGCGATGGCAACACCCGTGCAAATGATTTTACACGCGAATCTAATTTTAGGAGAGAAAATAAAAACAATATTTTTGGATTATCGTCGGTTTCCACGCACGATGAAACAATAAGCGATGGCAACACCCGTGCAAATGATTTTACACGTGAATCTAATTTTACGAGAGAAAATAAAAACAATACTTTTGGCATGGCTGGTAGGTCTCCTGTTTAGTTTGCTTGCCACTAAAATAAGCAGCGGTTTGGTAGAACGAACCCTTGCCTCCACTTGCTAATTATGGGGGTCATTCTCATCAAAGCATGCTACCTGATCTCCGATGTGTTTTTCGTGGTGCACCACATGTTGTTTGGCATGCTGTACGGTTAAATCTTGACTTAAAGCTTTCGTGACTGCAGGAATTCCTATTCTTTAGGACTTTCGGTAAAGTCACGTAGATAGGTTGGAATTAATAATAAGAGAAACTAAAAACTACGACGTTTCGATCACAACACAAGCGATCGTCATCAGGATCGTTATATCAGACTGACGATCACTTGTGTTGTGATCGAAGCGTCGTAGTTTTTTGTTTATTTTATTATTCATTTGAACCTATCTATGTGACTTTACCGAAAGACCCAAGGAATATGCTGTACGGTGTTTCACTCCCAGTAGCAACTGAAGAATCTCCCAGCACATGGAGAGAAACATTGGACATCATACCCAAGAACACGTGATACAACCCGAAAACACATCGTAGATCTGGACAACCATCGCAGCTAGCATGCTACAAGATTGTAACGTGAGCCGTAAGGACCATACATATTTAAATGCATCATGAAGTGTTTGCTAAGGAATCTGCTGAGGATATGAGCTATGAGCTGGATGTGTTTAGATGAAACAACTTTTTTAAAACACTATGTCTTGCCTTGTTCTCCAATGCTTATCTCAATTGTGCCATTGGCACCATGAGATGAAGGATACATTCAGAACTCTAGCGGAGCAGCGCATCGCCCCGTGTTGCAGATTGGTCCATGGAATATTTCACAGAACTGCTTCTGAAAATGTATTCAAGTGACTCCTTTTCCACAACAGGGGTAGCACTTCCCCACCCACCCTGCTACAGAGATAATGATTTGTCACGTGACAATGAAACCGATATTTAACATTTTCAGCGCTGGAATTTATCCATGTTAAGTGTAAAAACATATTTAACTGTGAAGTTTCTTTTTTACATTAAACGCTAGGCTGAGGCTGAGGCAATCAACTCACTACACTTGAGACACCTGATAAAGTATGGATGGCTGTCCTGATTTGAACCCAGAATCTCTGTGGTATCAGCTCAGCACTCTGACTTATGAGCCAAGTGGCCACGTGAAGAACTGTCACCGATCATATCACGAGGGCCTATACAGACATCCAGCATAGAAACAAGCCTGCTCAGAGAGAGACCCCAGATTTACACACTTACTCAGTTCCAAGACCAGTACCAGCAAACATGAAATAATGAATACTGAGACATTTCCAACTTATTCTTACAAAATGTCCCTATAAAGGATAGACTCTCTATTCGCTTAAAATAATGTTCTCACAAATTACCATCCAAAACAGACCATGCAACATATTACGACGCAATGTCCGATCCAAAAAACCCAAAGGAGACATCACAGCGATACACTCCGCTGTTCCTGCACGCGGTTATCTGGCTTGACCACCTGAACGCGAAATTGTAATTGTTGCTCAACATCTATATCAGCCATACGAAAGAAGAAGACCCACAAAACTCCAAAGCTCTGAAACCGCAAGTGCTTGTCGTGTCACAGTAACACGGCCTAGCACGGCTCCTACCAACCCGAATCTCACTCGAGCCGGAGATATTCTTCTGATGATTCTCATGCTGGAAATCCCCGCGTGCATGCCGTGCATCTTCTACTGTCTTGACATCATGCGATTTTGGGCTTAACTGATGGTCTGTTTATTCCCATTATAAAACACTGTTATTTCAAGATTTGTTAGTGGGTATTTATTTAAAGTTAATTGTGATTTTTTTTTCTTCTTCAAGGAAGCACAGATTGATGTTATTTTCTGAATTTTGGTGCCACGTATATTAGTGGTAGACCATGTACAGTTAAGAGATTACTTTTGATTTACACACATAAATTATATATAGTTGTGACAGCATAAGTACAATCGAGCTGTGTGTGGCAATGCATTGTTAATCTTGTACTGCCTGCAATAAAAAAGAGAGTAACACGCTGATAACAAGAGAGCTGTATAATTCTGAGGTCTCACTCTTCCATGAAGAGCTGGATGTATTTGCCGAAGCGACTGGAGTTGTCATTGCGCATGGTTTTGGCGTTTCCAAATGACTCCAGCAGAGGAGTTGCCTCCAAGATCTGTGAACGTACAAAAGGCAGAGAGCGCCAGCAATCAAGATGCACTTTTTTTTTTAAAATCCAGTCACAAGGAACACATAGATTAGAGATCATATGCAGGTAAATTACATCATACAAACTGTTGGGAAAAGTAAGTGGGCTTGGAAAGGCGCGTCGTAAGAATGGACGATGGTCACGAGTAACGACGGAGAGGTAGCCAAGCAATGAACCGTCCGAGAGCACGTCCACAGACAAGGTTGAGTGACACAATCAGCAATGTGCAGGTGCTGGGTTGGTTGCTGCATAGCAGCCTTTTGAAATATAGCGATGGCTTGGGAAGGCATGAATTCAGCAGTGGATTCATCATGGCTGATGATGATGGTATGCAATCAGTCGTGTGAGCGTGCTGGGTTGGTTGCTGCATAGCAAGCAGGCTTTTGAAATATAGCGATGGCATGGGAAGGCATGAATTCAGCAATGGATCCATCATGGCTGATGATGATGGTATGCAATCAGTCGTGTGAGCGTGCTGGGTTGGTTGCTGCATAGCAGCCTTTTGAGATATGGCGATGGCATGGGAAGGCATGAATTCAGCAGTGGATTGATCATGGATGATGATGATGATGATGGTGGTATATTGTCTGACACCAGCTGCACCTGCTGGGTGATGTTGTCCTTGCGAGTGTGGTTCAGCGCCGCCACGTAGCGCAGCACCAGCTTGGTGGCCTCCGTCTTGCCCGAGCCGCTTTCTCCGCTGGCGCCCAAATTCACGCACCGGAACACGATGTTACACTTTAATAACACTGGTCAGCAAAAATTTTTTTTTCTGGCCTGGACTTTTGCAGCTGTTTTAGACTAATTTCAGGGTGCTGATTCCAAATCTGATCTCAGATTTGCTCTATCACATAATTTTTATGCTATCGGCATACCCCATTTTCATTGATTTTACCCGAAATTAACTGTCACTTATGATTGCAAGTTGTTGCGAGTCAGTGACTGCTTTAGTGTTAAAATACGGTGGTGTATTTTTAGGATATTGTTTTTATAATATCATTTTATGTAGATATCCACATTTATTTAATATTTTTCTTTTGCAGTTGTTATTGAAAATGCAATATTTGATCAAAACTGATGCCAAGTTTGGAATCAGCACCCCAAAATTACCTTAAAACCTTTGGAATACCTTATGCCAGAAAAAGTGTGTTGACCAGTGTAATAATAGCAATAGTCTAGCGCATTTTTATAATTGCACAATTGTTATCTTGCGAGGACATCATGAAGGCGCTCATGTTTCACGGGCAGAGTCTGCAGTCGTTTCACAGTAGGGAGTGATGTTTAGCTATGTGTAATCCCAAATTGAGTAATTTGGAGGTAATTTTTTCAAATTTGCCAAATTTAAACCATGACGCTGGAACACAGTGGCCTGATTTTTTCGAATGACATCATGGGATCTTTTAGCATCCACTGTCAAGCAGATGGTCCGTATTTGATGGTTAATACACCTGCAGTAATAACCAGGGTGGCCAGTGGGAATCAAACCACTTGCCATATTCAAAACCTTCTTGCAACATGCTGCAAACACACTCCCTGCTGGGCTATGTGACCGCCCCAGTACGGTTTCGCTGCATTTGTTGGGGTAAAGGTGCTCTGGACAGATGTGTTTGTCAATCTATGGGCCAGATGATACACCATCACAAAAAAGAAAATACAACTGATGTAAAAATAACTAATCCAGAGAAGGGTTTGTCAGACTAACAAGGCCGTCAGCGACCAGTGGTGGTTTCACCGTAAAATGTAAAGAACCCAACCGGAGATAAATAAGTCTGGAAGTTAATTGTCTAAATCTAGATAATAAGATATGTTATCTGTGGTCTATTCATGTGTATCATGTCAAGGGGGGGGGAGGGTAACATCAACTTTATAGAAACCACTGTGGTTTGGCAATTTTCTAACAGAATTTACTGGGTAGAAGCTAACTATCACAATGATGTGTTTGGAGGCATTCTGCATTTGTAGGGATCGGTATTGGTGTAGACGAAGAAATGTGGATGAAAAGACAACCATCAAAGATATTGTGAACGTTTTCGAACACCAACTTTATGTTATAATCAATGTATTTATTAAATGCATGAGCCATGCAGAGTATTTGAAATTAAAAAAGTCAATCCAATTCAGAAAAAATTATGAAAGCTGACATGCAGTGTGAGTTGAGCTTTCAACGCACAGTTCACGTAAAGCTGTACTCCAGTGGGACTTTTGTGTTTAATACATGAGCACACCGACCTTATTAAAATGCACTGATTTTCTTTGGCATCAATCATCTTCATGTAGGCTGCATTTGCAATAGAAAAGAGGTGGCTGGAGAGAAAAAAACAGGAATCGTATTACCAGCATTAACATAGTAAACTTATGTGAAAAGGGGACACTGCATTTACATGATTCTAGGTTTTAAGTTTTTGTGACTGCAAGGATTCATACTCTTTGGGTTTTTTCGGTAAAGTCACGTAGGTAAAAAAATAAAATAAATTTAATCACGACGTTTCGGGTGCAACACAAGCGTCCTTCTTCAGGTGGGGACAACTTAGAAAAAGTACACCGCTTAAGTGTGACACACTCTTAAGTGTGTGTCACACCGCTTAAGTGTGTGTCACACTCTTAACTGTGTGGACACATTTAAGAGTGTGACACCTGAAGAAGGATGCTTGTGTTGCGCCCGAAACGTCGTGATTTAATTTATTTTAATTTCTTACCTACGTGACTTTACCGAAAAAACCATAGAGTATAAATTTACATGCTTGAGTCATATAAATGTTAATATTACGATGTGTTTGTCTAAACGTGCATGTAAGGAGTAGCTGAGTGTGGTGTTTGCCAAACCACCCCTTATGCGTTTTACCAGCCTTAATAGGTGCTCGTTAACAGCACCTGTGCTTTCAGTCCATATGGCTAAAGTGAGACTCCTTTCCGCGTCTGGTTTTGCTTGAGCGTGTACTTACCCAACTTTAAAACAAGGCTCAAAATATATTATGCACAAGTCATTGACTAATCTGACATGACACAATCATTTGATATGTCTTTCATACAGATCACGAGGCATGATGAATTAAATAAAAAATACAATTCATATTGTTTTTGGTCCTTATGGAGATGTTTATCAGAGGGATACAAATGAAGAACATTTATACCTGTGGCAGTTTTTTTTAAGGGGGACTTCGATCAAAATGAAAAGGTACATAGCCTTGTTCCTCCCTGTTATTGAAGTGAGAAATAAAAAAATGGACCTCTCTGTACGTTAAGTGAAGTAACTAAGGATTTGCATTTATAGGCCACTTTAAATAAATGCCTTAGCTACTCAAAGCACCTTAAATCACATCTCATGTCAAGCTTGAGTGCCCTGCTGCAGTCCCACCAAGGGGACCGAGGTGGCAGCCGTCACTGTGAGCCACGAGGTTCATGCAACACCGGCCAGATTGTGGGCCTCAGTCTACCAGTAGGAGGCAATGTTGCTATCCGGCTTCCCAATTAAGTATTTGTGAGTAATCTATATAACTTGTCAAATTTTGACAGATAATTCTTGCGAAAAGTTGAAAGGCTTCCCAATTAAGTATTCGTGAGTAATCTATCTAACTTGTCAAATTTTGACAGATAATGCTTGCGAAAAGTTGAGAGGCTTCCCAATTATGTATTTGTGAGTAATCTATCAATAATTTGTAAAATTTTGATAGATAATTCTTGCGAAAAGTTGAAAGGCTTCCCAATTAAGTATTTGTGAGTAATCTATCAATAATTTGTAAAATTTTGACAGATAATGCTTGCGGAAAGTTGAAAGGCTTCCCAATTAAGTATTTGTGAGTAATCTATCTAACTTGTCAAATTTTGACAGATAATGCTTGCGAAAAGTTGAAAGGCAGGCACTAAATTTAAGAATGCCATTACAAGGTACGGAGCCTGGGCATGCGATTCTCACGGCGGATTCTCCCCCATCGCCTTTCCCTCGTACAGCAGCACCACCTCCGAGCTGTAGATGTCGTACATACGGTACGGGTTCAGGGACAGCAGGATGCTCCCAATGTACGTCTGTGGAGGAGGTAAAACGCGCGGGTTACGAGGCTCGTGTCAACAGGCTCATGCTCAGCACCTCTGGGCAATCACCCACGGTGTGACCTGCGGTGACCAATCTCCATCCACCGGATCACGTAGCCACTCCACCGTTCGCTTTTATCGTTTGCTGGCAGCATTTTAGATATTAATTAGGCGACTCCAGAAATCTTCCGCGGGTTCACCCACCAATCTTGACATGAATATATATGAATAACTTCTCACTATGCGTAGAAGGAGCACATTTGTCAATGTGCCAGTTTGCACAGGTTTGACGAAACAACAATCAACATAAATCATAATAATTCCTGTGGCAAAATTGCCAAAACTGCCATCTACTATATATAAATTGATTTTCCCACTCAAATACTACACGGTTGTGGCATAATAGATAGTTTGAAATATAACATCAAACTAATTAAATAAAAATAAACCATGATGGCTACCCAAATTTGCCCTCAAACAAAACATGAGTTATCCCCTGGTTACGTGTTCCCCTGGTTAAATACTGAACAGGTTCGAACTTGATTTGAAGCTTTCGTGACTGCAGGAATCCATACTCTTTGGTTCTTTCAGTAAAGTCACGTAGGTATACAATAAAATTAATGAATAGCAGACCATGCTTTCCCACCTGATGACGGACGCTTGTGTTGCGCCCGAAACGTCGTGGTTTATTTTATTTTATACCTACGTGACTTTACCGAAAGAACCAAAGAGTACTCCACGGGTTATTTACTGATTGACTCCTACATAATAAATTAAAGTTTAAATAGTCGAGCATTACGTCAATTTACAACAATAAGAAAAGTCTCATAATCCTACATTGAAGTAATTTGGAACATTAATTGTACTGTATTGGCCCAATTAAAGCACTGATTAATGTGTTGCTTCTTGTGCGGTTTTTTTTTGGCAAAAATGTGCCGCTGTCTCCATTACCGACAATGGGGCAAATAGCCAAGGTGACGAGTGTAATACCAGCAGCACGCAAGCGATGGTGGAACATGCCTGCCTGTAATCCAGCACTTTGCAGGTGAGGTATGTGGCACATTAGGAATGGATCACTCTTTTAAGTATGTCCTTGTGCAGCAACAAGGGAGTAAAGTGTGGTTCTGTGAAGGTCCTGATGTGCTGTGCAGTGCATCAACGCATGTGTGTACAGCAGCATGTGGTGACTGAGTCGAGCCTGTAGGTGGCTGGTAGGGTTAATGAATAACCGCACGTGTAAACCAGCCACGTGGTTAATGGGGTCTCGGAAGAGTTGCTGCGTGTAACTTGCGCTGTTGCATTTTACAGAGTGACGGTGCGGTTCTTCACAAGATGAATATTAACTACAATAAATAAATGTGCTTGCCCTCGATTTGGAGCACCTGCCCACGTCCTTCATTTCGAGTGTGCAACGGGTAGATGGATCACGCAGACATCATCGTGGTTACGAGATACCTACTTACCTGCAGAGCGATGTGATGTATTTGTAGAACCAAGAACGGCAAGTAGGATGCTGATCTACAGCAGCTGTGAAGGTTTTGTGCGCTATTCCCCTCGTAGGCACACATCGTTTGTTTGGACATAAATATTTATATTCCATAAAATCAGCAAAGACAATTATTACGTGCAAAACAGACAATATGATTATCATGGACCTCATGTTGCACGATTTGTCATAGTATTATCACAACGTGGCTATCCTAGTTTATTCTGGGTGCTACAGTTTCCTCCTATAGACAAAATGCTCATTTGAAAAAAAACCTCCTGAGAAAGTCTTCAAACTCAGTGGGACAAAACTGAAGAAAAATACATATTTTGATTTATGATCAAATGCCCCGACCTTTCATCCACTGACTGCTTTTCCAGAAATCCATAACTCCTAAACCTTTGGACCTATTAAAATCTTAACCCCTCCAACTCACCCAATAGCCTCTTGTCATTGAACTTTCAGACCCACAGAGCTCTAACCTATAACACCAATGTGAACCCCCCCCCCCCCCCCCAATAAATAAATGAAAATGCATAGAAAATCAGCAGAAAAGTAATGGAGATGATTTCATTGTAAATATTCAAAAGCACTCACATAGATGCGCTCGCTGTCGTACCGTTTCTTGAGGTTCAGCAGGATCGCTCCTTCGTGCAGGTCGCTGCGTCACACACGGAAGTCGTCGGTTGTTCACAAGGATGAGCTACTCGAGTTATTGATTACAGCTCCTGTGTCTGTTCTATGTTTTGTTAATTGCGCGTGTCGTGTCGTGCCAACGGCCGAGAGAAGACAATCTAAGTTTACTTCCCATTTGGTGTTGACTTATTGATTACACCTGGCATTGGTAATACTGAGGTGTGTTTTACTTCTCTCCTTATTTGACCATGAACGTCTAGGTGATCAGCTTTAAATAGAGTTTAGTAATCAGCCAATGAGTCTAGCTTCAGGGTAGAAGCAACCTGGACAATTGAATGATTTGATTTTGGGCCCCAACCTATCGAATTCCCTGGGTTTAATTTCTTTAGACAATGTCTCCTCTAACTTAACCACTATTTATTACATTTACTGCATGGCTGAATTAGTCCTGTGCTGAGCCCCCTTTTAACCAACACTCTGCCTCCTGCCAAACCCATCCCCACCAACCCATCTTGCTCAGAATTCTGCCTTCATCTTGCCTACCAAAGTCAAAATATGGCATCAACAATGTCTTTACAAACACCTATAATGGCTTGGTTCTGCCTAATATGTCTAAAATGTCATCTGGTACATAAGTCATGGAAATGTAATGCGTTGTAATGCATTTGCCAGTGCTTATTACATGCGAACGTTGCACATTTACATTCTAGGATGCCTCTGTAATTGTGTGGTCCAATCCATGTGTGCTCACCATGCCTCTGTGCCACCCTAAACAAACCCCAGGTCTGACAAGCACAGGCCCATACCCCTCTCTCTCTCTCTCCACTCTCGCACAGATGACCCAAGCCAAAGAGATCACTTACACAGGTTAGGAAATTTAGGCAAGAGACCATGACCCACTCAAGCCTATCAAGACTGAAAAAAAAGCAATTGTTAGGGCACGAATTGCTCCTAAAAATTGTCTACATTTTGTTTTCCTTTTCTGGATCATCATCATCATCATCACACATATCATCAAACAGAGCATCATCACACAGCACCATCAGCATCCCTTACTCCAGCTGGGTGAGATCCTCTATCCCCACCTCCCCACCCGGATCCCGTGCTCGCAGGGTGCCTGGGTCCATGATGGAGTAAAGCTGGGGGCAGAAAGAGGGGCGCACACACAAAGACAAATCCAACATATGACTGGTAAGAGCGTGGCTCATTGAGCAGTGCAAATTCACAAAGAGATAGACCACCAGAAGGGGATCTACAGCAACAATTAATGGTACAGACACATAATTGACTTACAGTGGATTTACTTTTGGGTCTATGCTATAGCCATCTTATACATATGAAGCAGGGTGGAAACCAGACAAAACCTTAATTTTGTGGGACATCCTAATTTGGACATGACAACATTTGCCAGTGAACACAGTGCCCAAGGACCAAAACCCACCAAGGCAGAGCAGATAACACATTCCTGCGGCGGGAGCTGGAAGGAACGTTGGGTTGCTCGGTCAATGACCAGGGTCAACGGCGGCGTGGTGTATTCCGCAAATATGCCCGACTGTGAGGGTGGGCACAAGCCGGCGTGAGCAGGTTTTAACGTTGAGTTTTATAAGGGCACCAGGGGGTGACCAGCCCCTCCCCACCCAGCCCCACCCCCACCCAGCCCCTCCCCACCCTCTCCTCCCCACCCAGCCCCTCCCTGTACGACGGACGGACGGACACAATAATCCCCTGTGGGCTGGTGTAACCAGGAGTTTCCTACCAGTAAAAAAAATGCTATTTTTATTTAGCTTAACACAGTGGTGGGAATTATTCATTGGTCATACGAGTTACGTCCTTTCAGATGTCTGTTTTGTTTTATAAATATATTGGTGAAAATTAGGTCGATTATACACCATCCCCCAATCCACCAACCCCCATCTCGTAATGCTCCGCTAAATCATGCCGACAAAGCGCACACAGCACCAGGCAACCCGAATCACCCTCGGGGAGGCACAGAACAGGAGCGTCTGATGTTTTCAGGTCACAACATTTATAGCACAGTGAGCAAACCACTGCAACCACTACTCCTCACAAAAACAAAGCTCCCCCATATACATTTTGATGTAAAGCTTTCGTGACTGCAGGGATTCATATTCTTGGTTCTTTCGGTAAAGTCACGTAGAAGGGAAACAATAAAATAACTTTACCGAAAGAACCAAGAATATGAATCCCCCATATAGCCTGTAACATATTGTTGGGGCAAGTGCTGTTAGCGAGCACCACTCCTCACATACACACACACAAAGGCATTGGTTTAGCATGTACCAGTATATATACAAATACTGTTTCTTGGAATTTCTCTCACTTGATACAGCTATCGTGCTGTGACGGTTCCACCTGAAGACGGAAGCTTGTGTTGCCTCCGAAACGTCGTGATTTTTATTTTATTTTTTATTTTACTTAGATTAATTTTTATTTTTTACCTACGTGACTTTACCCAAAAAACCTAAGAATATGAATCCTTGCAGTCACGAAAGCTTCAAATCTAGAATGTACAACTCTGTCAATGCACTGAAGGATGAAGGCTTCCCCATGCCATGTCAGTCATACAGGTTACTTTGACCTTGCTTCACCACATTGGTCAGTGCAGGTTGAAGAAGAGGGAGGCCCAAGACTGGATTAGATATCTCTTGCCACCCATGTATGCAATGGCTGGCAATCAAACTCAGATAGACGGATTCATAGGGGCCGTCCATAAATGACGTCACGCGATTTTAGACGATTTTTGACTCCCCCCCCCCCCTTCGTCACACGGCATCACACAAAGTCAGATCCTCCCTCAAATATGACGTCACAAAGCTCTGCCCCCCCCCCCCCCCCCAAAATAAAACATGCTGCAAATCGTTTTAAACTATTGTCATTGTAGTGCGTATTTAATGTGGTGCTGCACTCTGATGTTGTCAAAGAAAACATGTATTCAAAATTCTAGATTTGAAACTTTCGTGACTGCAAGGATTCATCCTCTTAGGTTTTTTCGGTAAAGTTACGTAGGTGACTTTATCGAAAAAAACCTAAGAGTATGTATTACAAAGTCTATTTAATTAAGTAGAACGTGTTGTCCATATTCATTTAAAGTTGCGCATTTGGATGTGACGTCACATTTCTCAAACCCCCCCCCCCTCGTCAAACATTGTCACAAATGTCTGACCCCCCCCCCCCCTAGGTGCGTGACATCAATAATGGACGGCCCCATAGTGCAATGTGCTGACCACTATGCCACCGCTCCAAATCCTGCATTTGTATACACTTACTAAACTTCCACCACTCACTCAAACCCTTTAACAGGTAACAGCACTACAGAAGTAAATGCCAAGTATGATGATCGTGCTTTGTGTGTTGCTGGTAATGTGCTTTGTGTATTGCTGGTAATGTGGCATGGAGCAGTCTACCCACTGACATTAGACTCGCATCAACACTAGAGTATTTCAAGACAATTAAAGACACGCATGTTTACCATCTCTCTTGTGTCATTTTGTATACCACCCTTAAGGTGTAGTTGTCGTGGTATGGTGCCAACCAACTCATCATCATACCCACCACTTATCTGACCATGAAGACTTTGCTGTAGGAATGATCTGTCATTTAAATTCCAATTGGTAACAATACACTGCTGAGTCTTTCGTTTGAGAGCCCCGTCTGGAGGCATGTCACTTCTAGTTGGGTGTCATTGCATGACCGCAAAAGAGATGCCGCTTTGGCATGAGGCCCAGCCAGATGCTTATTGCGTGACACTCGCGTTAGGACCACCTCAGCGTTACATCACATCACAGCCTTGTTCAGGGCATCATGCATGGCTCCCTCAATTATTCAGCATTGACAAGCAGGCCCTATTTTATGGACGAAATGTAATCCGCGGGCACCGTATTACGGCAAAGCAGGGAAACATGCAACACGGCGAACCCTGCCCTACTCCCCCACCAACCGTGCATCACACTCACACACAAAACGAGCTGTGCAGACAAAAAAAATTAACCCGTAAAAACAAAGTTTTTCACTATAAATCCTTTATATGCGTGGCGGCTAGAGTCCTCTCGTCCTCTGGCTTGAGATGGCTGCCACATATGGGTCAGATGAATGGCTGCCACCATTAAGCAATTAGGTAATTAAATATAATTTATTTTTTCCTAAAAAGTTTAAAATTTTTGAAAAAAAATTTCACGAACATTAATTGTCACGCACAACGAGTCTGTGTGCAAAATGTCAGCTCGATTGGATCACGGGAAGTGGGTTAAAAAACGACTGAAAGATTTGCACGGTCGTAAGCAAGCAAGTGAACTTAATATAAAGGATTTAAAAACAGATTGATCGTTATTCGTAAATGTTTTAAAGGGGAAATGCCTCGCTTTTAAAGTGTTTATCAAAAATATTGAGTCCTGCACGTTAAAACCTGTGCCGTATTTTAAAAATAGAGGCATCATTTAGAACCGTTCTAGGACGTGAATCAGAGCCTACTTGTTACTCGCAGAGTATGGCAGTACTACTATACATCTAAATATGTTTCGTCCATCCTGCTATTGGGCTTTTCATACCAATATTATCCAGCAATGTGTAGTTTGTAGCTGCTATCTAAATTAATCGGTAATTCATATACATTGTAATTACACTTCCATCAAAATAAATTGAGCAAATGTGACCAACTGACTGCAGCAGTGATACACTGATAGACAACTGTGAACCGGTTTCATCCTTATTGTCAATTACTCCATCACTGCTGCTGTTAAGAAAAGTGGTCTGAGGCAGCAGAAGTTGCTTAAATTTACTGAAACGTCACCTTATATATATTAACCCTTATGAGGCAACGTTATTGGCGAATAAATTGAGGTTTGTGTGCATTGTGTTTGTGCACCTCTGCTAACACAGCATCACCAAACAATAAAAAACCCCACATCAGGAATGACGACAAAACTGTAATTTTGCATTAAAAGCCTGATGTCAGAAGTGCTAGTGCACCTCTGTAGAGCAGTGTCTCGAATGTTGAGGTGGTGGTTTGTGCAAACATGCAGTTTCTTTTGATTTAAAGCTTTCGTGACTGCAGGGATTCATATTCTTGGTTCTTTCGGTAAAGTCACGTAGAAGGGAAATAATAAAATAATATAAATATAAAACAATAAAAAAAACTATTAAAACAATATTATTTTATTATTTCCCTTCTACGTGACTTTACCGAAAGAACCAAGAATATGCAGTTTCTTATTTGTTCTCCAAGCCTCAGTAGAGATACAAGAGATATAAATGCACCATTATACCTGCTCGATATTTTAGAAGTTACAAGGCAGCGTTCGTTAACGGCAATGGTGTCCTGGTGTTTTCGGCATCCGTTTCCGTACCACTGCCAACACAGTCCCTGGACCACTAAAATATAGGTGAGCGATGTATGCAGAAGAAAGGTAGAAGAGAGAGAGATGTTTTCAAATAGAGAAGACAGAGAAGAGACGTGTATTTTAGAATGGACTTATGACCAAGACAGGGTCAAAGTTCAATGCAAAATCCAACTACCTCATCAGAGAAGTAGTCCTTCTCTGTGTGCTTCTCTCTCTCCTGGGTAACTCGTCTACGGCGGCTGGAGGGCCGCTGGATACTCGCCGAGTACGAAGGCTTGCGGTCACGATACACGGTCCACTTAGCCAGGTTATCCGACGTGTTACCCGGGAGCCCCGTGTCCCCATAGTTGCTGTAGCGATCGTCGCCGCTGCCGCTTGCCGGAGCCCGAGCCCAGTGTGTGTGCACGTCCGCGCTGATGAGTTCTTGCTGCATTCGGCCACTTTGTCGGGTCCGGTTCGCTCGGGGCATCGCGAAAGAATTCCCGCCACCCCTCGCGTTAAAGCCATCATCGTCCTCCTCCTCCTCCTCAGCGTCATCTCCCTCGCTCCAGCTCTCAACCCATCCGCCGTCTTCATCCTCCTCTCTGAAGCGCTCCATCCTAGAGCTCGTGTGATAGCCACTGTGCTTACTTTGCCCTGGACGGGAGCTCCCTGGGTGATGCCTTCTCTTTTCTCTTTCACGCTGCGATGTGCCGTATTGCTCCATATCGATCCTCTGCCTTGCAGAGGACACCGATCTGTAACTTCCCTGATGGTGGTGGTGGTACCTCATTCGCTCATCT